ATTAGTTGCGTATCCAAAAAAAGGAAAATGGACATAGCGCGCAGTAGGGACATATATTGCCATTTTTGAGCTAATAAGATCACTTATATGACAAAATAAAAAAGTAATTAAAAGCAACAACTTAAGAAAATAAAAAGGTACGTATAAGTAAGAAGTTTTTTTTTTTTTTTTGCATATTAGAAACATAACGATAGAGTACCTATTTATAGGGGTTTTATTTAGCCTAATTCTAATCCTAGTAGAAGTTGATTATTATTTTTTGGTAGTTTTAAGTTACTAAAATTAGTGTTAGGTTACTATATGTATTTATGGTAATCTTATGGTTATTTATATCATATTTTGATATGTATTATTCTAATTTCACACTATATGATTTTGTTTTGGTAATTTTAAGTTACTAAAATTAAACAAAATAATTAATCTCTAATCAAAATAGGAATACTTAAAGATTTATTTTTCCTAAAAGTGAAATAGGACTCCATGCTTCTAAAAAAATATAGTATATTCAAATTATTGATCAAAACAAGACACAAAAGCGATATAGTCTTTATAACCTTATTCTTGAAATTATCATAATGATAGCATACAAGTCCAAAATGCATTCGAGGATTTGTCAAAAATTTCAGTACAAAGGGAAATTAAATTAGGAAATATTTGACAAGTAAATAGAGACGTAGAGAATATTAACATTTAAAGACTTAATTTAAATTATAATTTCACTATTGCCCTTTGTGAAATAATAAATATAACTTTATAAATAGTGTAAGTTATTTCCTAGAAATATAAAACTTCAATAAATAAAAAGGCAAATATGAAAAAAATCAAATATATATCTTCAATTTTGAACAATTAAATTATTTATACAATAAAAAAAGCCACAAATATTCAGTTAATATAAATATCTGGAGCTTAAAAAGGTGAAAAGCAACTTTATCTCCCCTCAACGTTGGGATACAAAAATTTAATTAATTTCACTCTTTTCTTAATATTTCTATATATCAATTTTTATGTATACACGATTATTATTTATGTAAAGTTTTTCATTCATATATTTTTATACATAATGTAAAATCTTACTACATTATTTTAATATTGTGACGAGACCGTCAGGCGTCAAGTACACTAGCTAGCTAGTGAGGTCAACAAAAATCAAGTCTAATCTTATAGCCGTTTAGGGACGATAGAATGTATATAGATTTTATTATCCTTATTAATTTTAGCTACGAATTTAGTCTCAAAATTTAAAATCGAGACAACTAATCTAATCCTATGAATCAGACAACTTACATTCTTATAGCCATCTAGGGACGATAGAATGTCGATCCAAACTGTCAACCATCAAAGTAGCACTAATTTGATCAAGTGTTCATGTCCCTAGTCTAACATGATTGAAAAAACCAAAAAGACAATCAAATATGAAACAAGGTATTAATCCCATGAACATTGATTTCAAGAAAATAGACATTGGTCCTTCATCATTTATATACACAACCAAACATAAACATAAATCCTACAATGAATTAACAAAAATATATTTCATTATATTCTTTGTAATATTAACAAATGCTTACGTACAATTTCATATATTTTTTCTTTTGTGCTATATGTACTAAACTATCGTACATGCTTTCGGTACCTAGGGTATGCAACGTGAGCCATGTCCGCGAGAAGAAGTTGGTGCATGGAATGTGGCGGATGATGTAATATTACAAGTTCTTCATCTAGTTGCATTCTTCCCAGTTTCGCCAGGTGATCTGCACAGTTGTTTCCTTCCCTTAGAGTATGCATCATGGAGATCCCAAGTTCGGACAACATACGTCGACACTCTTTTATCACATCGCAATCAAGGTGATTGTTGACGGCGCGTCCCTTACTCATTATGAGCATCAATGCTTCACGAGAGTCAGTCTCGATGATGACGTTCTTCAGCTTGAAGTTCTTCGCCAAGTTCAGTCCGCCATGTATGGCCCACAGTTCTGCCGTGAGGCACGACGTTGTTACCATACCTAATCTCCCCACGAATCCTCCTAGCCACCTACCTCTATCGTCTCTTGCAATGCCTCCATATCCCGCTAACCCTGAATGCTGCATAAAAGATCCATCCGTGTTGATCTTAATGTATCCCGACGGAGGGAATGACCAACTAATATACCTAGGGGCATCTCTTTGTCTAACTACGGATTGATCATGATCATGAACATTAGATACATATCCAATGATGCAAGGTTGAACATTAGTTGCGTATCCAAAAAAAGGAAAATGGACATAGTGCGCAGTAGGGACATATATTGCCATTTTTGAGCTAATAATATGATCAGAGAAAAAGAAAAAGTAGTTAAAAGTAACAACTTGAGAAAATAAAAAAAAGTATGTAGAAGTAAGAAGTTTTTTTTTTCATATTAGAAACATAACGATAGAGTACATATTTATAAGGGTTTTATTTTGCCTAATTCTAATCCTAGTAGAAGTTGATTATTATTTTTTGGTAGTTTTAAGTTACTAAATTTAGTGTTAGGTTAGTATAGGACGTATTTATGGTAATGTAATGATTATTTACAAAAGTCAGTCGAGATAATTGTGTTTTATTTATTTTTATTTTTCTTTCCATTTTTGTAAGAGTACTAATATTTTTTTATATATAGCAATTTAATTGCTTGATTTCTCTTGTGTCTGTAACAATAAATATTGGTATACTACACTTTTCTTTAGCTTGAAAATTTGGAAATTTTTATATTAGATTCAGAATTAATCTTATAATAACTAAATGTAGTTTTCACAGTTTAATTTAATACTTATATTGTGTTGTTGTGATTTATCAACATGTTGGAGATGATTTTGACCAAAAGTTTATTAAAAAAATTCAAGTTTTTTTTATTTTTTTGCACAAGTAACAACCCATAAATTAAATTTTGAGATAAAAGTGATTTGTGTATCATGTTTTAAAATCAATTATATGTTCTCTCACCTTAGGAATTTCAAGTTTTTTTCTGAAGTTATATATGACATTTTGTAAAAGTTGGATAGTGTGGATTTTGATTTTATTCAAGAGTGACTTGTATTTTAAAAAATGTATACAAATATTATGGGGTATACGCGAGCATCTTGAATAATTAAATTATTTTGAATAAATAAAATATCAAATATTCGATTAATATAGAATAGGGGAAGTATAGGCTTCCAAATGTTATTATAGATATTTTGTTTTCTTCCGCCATATCAGACAATTATTTTTCTGAATTCAATTATTTGGAGCTTAAAAAAGTGAAGTTGGGATAAAAAAAATTAATTAATATCGCTCTTTTCTTAATATTTTTATATATCCGTTTTTATGTTAACACAGTTGTTATTTATGTGAAGTTTTTCATTTCCCATCAAGTACACTAGTGAGTCCAACTGAAACCAAGTCTAATCTTATAGCCGTTTATGGACGGTAGAATGTATATAGTTTTTATGAACTAATTTCAGTTTTCCCTCACTCAGACGAGAGGAAGAGAGAGCTTCACCAAGAACTTAGATAACCTATTAAATCGAGTCGTTTCTTCAACTGATTTCAGCCCACTGATCGATTGATCGAGCTATGAAATATGTATAGTCCTTGCAGACAATGAGCAAAAGAGTCGATTGTCTCCTATAACCCGCAAGCCACAACATCAAGGTTGATAATCAGATATATGTTAATTGTAATCGCACTGACATAAATCTAGGTGCTTTTTAAAACAGAGCTATATATTATTATAACGCAATCATATAAAATATATATAGTTCTCATAGACGTTATGCATGCAATTGATGTTTGTATTGTGCGCGTTATGAAGAGGCAGAAAGTTCTCCCTTATCAACAACTAGTTTTGGAGTGTGTTGAGTAGTTGAGAAGAATGTTTAAGCCTGATATATATGGAAGCAATCAAACAGCGGACTGAAGCTCTTACCGTCCGAAAACATGTACAGTACTTGGCCCAAGGCAAGTGCTCGAGTACATCTGATACAAAGAGATTCTCAAATGAGTTAGTAGTGTACATCATGAGGTGTTACAACACATTTTATTTTTTTTTGATGACAAGGGAAACCCGCAGCCGCTACCTTTTGGGTGCGCACAGGGTAAAACCCCCGCTCCTATGCAATAGCTCGCAAACCACATAGGAGAGGTAAACCGCACTAGGCAAGCCTGGTGCGACGAGCTCGACTCAGAAGGCAAACCCCTTGCTTTCGCTGGCAAGGGGTTTCGAACTTGAGACCTCCAACATGGAAGTCCCAAGCTCAAAACCACTGGGCCACCCCGAAGGGTAGTTACAACACATTTTATTCAATGCACAACAGATAAACAGAATCAAATTGATTCCTTATAATGTAAACGACTCTTTTTTACATAAAAATTGTATGCAGTTTATATATATATGATTGTAGGCTCTGACATGAGTAAGATTCTAACGGAAACAGAAATTTCAAGAATGTTAACTAACCTGGGACAAGATGGAGCCGTCAAACCGCTAGTCAAAATGTTCGCCATTGAGAGCCTAGAAGCTAAGCAACCGTCTCTTAACGCGGTGCACAACTTGTCTGCCTCAAAAGCAAATGTTCAATGTCTGATAAAACCGGGCATTGTTGCTACTCTGCTACAACTTCTTTTCTCCGTGACATCAGTGCTCATGACTCTAAGAGAGCCAGCATCCGCGATTCTTGCAAAAATAGCAGCTCAATCGAAAGTTTGCATAGTACTAGTGAAACAATTCCCAGTTCATTTGCCTAACTCAAACCTGAACATTAATTTTACTCCCAGTTTCAATTCACTTCCAAAATTCTAATCCTAACCCTAATTCCGGTTCAATCCCGAAGCATTTCCATCCCTTCCCATGAGGAGAAGACAAGGTAGGCCAAGCAGTAAACTGCCTTTGTGCCAAGTATCCAGTAATTTTCTCGGTAGTGCCAATGAAGAACAGTCTGCATTTCTGTCTTCATCTTTTTTAGATAAGTTTAGCAAACCCCGAGTGAAAAGTTCCAATTTCGCAAACACAAATGTTAATTCTTAGGTGCTTAAAAGTACAAATTCCAGAAGGCGAGTTGTTGCTGATGAGAATATTTCAATAAACAAAGAGCCAACTTCTAATTCTTTAATTGCATTAACTGCTGGATTTTCATCCGAGTCGTTAACGACTGGCGGAAGTGAAATTAGGGTTTGTTTCTGAAGTTGGCGGGATAGAACATGATAACTACATTTTAATCAGAAATCCTATTATTACCAAATGGCATGAAAATGTGTCGATTTGGGTGACAGAAGATATGTTTGTTGATGTTATACCTGAACACTGTAATGAGCTATTAGATTCTGCATAGAACTACCTGTTATCATATGGATATATTAATTTTGGGGTGGCATTGACAATTAAGGACAAGATTCCAGTTGAGCCAAGAAAGGGCGGAGAGACTGTTGTCGGGCCAGGTCTTGCTGGTTTGGCGGCTGTGAGACAACTGATGTTATTTGGTTTTGAGTTTACTGTTTTGGAGGGACGAAAGTGTGTAGGTGGAAGGGTGTATACAAAAAAAAGATGGAATGAGGGAATAAGGTGGCAGCTGCTGATTTGGGAGGGAGTGTTTTGACAGGTACACTAGGGAATCCACTGGGTCTGTTGGAACGAAAGTTGTCGTATACACTTCATAAGGTGAGAGACCAATGCCCACTCTACCGTGCTAATGGAAATCCCGTAGACGAGTATTTGGATACAAAAGTGGAGGTTGCTTATAACTCACTTTTTAATAAGGCAAACAAGCTCAGGCAAGAAGTTTTCTCAGGACTAGAAGCACAGATCCATAACCACACTACCCAGTGGTTTAGACCCAATGTTGTCATTACGAGAATATTCAAACCTGGAGGAAGTGAGATCCCTTTAGAAGGGCCAATTTCTTACTTGCCAGTGGCGTAGAGCTAAAGCAACTCGCTACTACGTTAGTTCTAATATCCCCAGCAGATAAAGTGGTTCCGTTGCCTCTGCCAAAGTTTTTAGCCATCCTGAGAAACAAGTTAAAAAGGGGATTCATGAAGAAGCTGAAACTCTGAACAAGAAAAAGAAATAGGAAAGAAGAAGCTAAAGAGAGGTGGGGAAGGACTTATATCCGACTATTTTTTACTTGACAGTGGCTACTCTTGACTTTACAACACCTGTTAAGCAAAAAATATAAGAAAATGTTAGCCTCAAATCTAATATATGGCACAATTGCAAACGATATAAATAAAAACAAAACATGTTTGTAATGATTAACATGAAACTTCAAGGCAAAATATTACAAGCTCAAATTGATGAATAGTGAATCTTATTTTCTTGTTGCTTTGGCATGTTATTGTTGCCTCTTTTTCATTGTTCGCCCAGTCAAAGGTCTATTGGAAACAATCTCTATCTTCTCAAGGTATGCGTACATTCTACCCTCCTCGGACCCCACCTGTGGGATTATTGGGTTTCTTGTTGTTGCTAAAGGATATATAGCCCACAATTATTACATTATGCCAACTAAATTTACCCCTACTTACTGGTGTCACTTGTTGCTTGCATTTAACCCGTCTGGTCTGCTTATCTTATTTCAGCTTTAGCATTTAGTGCATAAAGTGAGCATGCAAACAATGTTGATATAGCAAAATTATAAAGAGTTGATCCAGAAAGGAAAATGAACTCGAGTATAAATAGAAACTAAATCATACTCGAGCAATATGTAATGAAGAAATAAGATGGTTGTAGAAAGAAATTAGTTAATTCTTTACCATAAACGATGAATTTCAAGTATTTAAAAGCAACATGATATTTTGTGTTCACAACATATATAATGAGATAAAACAAAGTTAGTTCTTGACTGTCAGTGTCTTAATAAACATTAGACATGCCTTTAAAAAGAACTGAAGCATACCTTATCTCGGTTTTTCTCTTCTCAATCTTCAAATGCAATGTTCTAATACCTGTGTGATAGGCCATCTTTGCAGCTTCTCTAAGCCCAGTGAGAAATGATCCATGCATGGTGGCTGGATAGCACAAAGATGGAGTAGGAACCAAATCTAAACGGATGGGCTCTGGGACGTTAATTCCTTGTGGTTCATTTATGCTTGATAATAATGCCCAAATCTTATCAATACATTAGCTCCATAACCATAAGAAACATAAGTTTCATCTTTACTATAATCGATGCATTTTCAAATATATATATATGCCTACGTAGCAGCATAAACGACAGATGATGAAATCATCTCTGAAGTATATAGTTGAGACAGAAAGTTAAACAAAGCAAGATCCTACCTCAAACAAGACAATACATACACGCTTCAAACTGAAACTTAACGAATATGAAATGGGATTGGCACTGATACTCTTTCAACCGCTTAACTCTAGACAAAGATAACATGAATTTTCACTTCCCGAGCAACTTCGTTCTTATTTTTCTGCTCGTGGAGTTTTTTATTCTTTACTTGTTACTTGGCTACCAAATAATATGCTATTCAAAAGAAAGAAAGATAAGATTTTGGTATATTGAAAGCTAAGTTAATATGGAACATGACATTTAATTACCTTCTAAAATTTGAAGAACTTTTTTCACTGCATCAGTAGGGGCCGTTAGCTCAAACTTGTATGGCAGCTTCTCCTGCGACTAGAGCTAACAATAAGGGCCAACCAGCAACTGTTGTATAGCTATAGAACAAAATCCTCTCGCGAAGTCCCCAATGCCTCTCCTCTACAGGCTTTCCATCAGCACAATAGATTGGACATTGGTCTCTCACTTTATGAAATGTATATGACAATTGTCGTACCAATAGACCAGTCGGATTCCCTAGTGTACCTGTCAAAACAATCCCTCCTAAATTAGCAGTTGTCACCTTATTCCCCCTTCCATCTTTTTTGTACACCCTTCCACCTACACGCTTTCATCCATCCAAAATCGCAACTTCAAAGCCAAATGACATCAGTTTCCTTGCAGCCGCCAACCCAGCAAGTCATGCCCCCGATAACAATCACTCTACCCTTACTTGGCTCAGCTGTCAAAGCCATCCAAAAATTAAAATACCCATATCATAACAAGTAATGTAGAATCCAATAACCCACTACGGTGTTCACATATAACATCAACAAATACATCTTTCGTCACCCAAATCCACACATTTTAGCGCCATCGGGAAATAATGTGATTTCTAATTAAAATGTAGTTATACTATTCCACCCCGCCAACCGCATAAACAACCCAAACTTCAATTTCGTCATCCCTTAACGAGTCAGACGTAAATCCAGCCGTTAACCCAATTAAAGCCTCAGAAGTAAACTCTTTGTTTATACAAATAATTCCATCAGAAACAACCCACCTTCTCGAATTTATACTTTTAAAATCAACATTTTTGTTCTCAAAATCGAAACTTTTCACTCGAATTTCGCTAAATTTACATGAAGAAAGCAATGCAGACTGTTCTTCATTGAAATTACTGGATACCTGCTACAAAGACTATTTACTGTCTGATCTACCTCGTCTTATATTCATGGCAGGGGATGAAAATGATTCTAGATTGAACCGGAGCTACGGGTAGAGTTAGAATTTGAAATTGAACTGAAATTGGGAGTAAAATCAAGGGTTTGAGTTAGAAAAATGAATTTTGTTGGTTGATTTCTCTGCTTTCTGTAACTGTAGCAATAGGGAAAACAAGGATGGGATCGGAGAAGATGAAAATGGGTGATCGGAGATAGATGAAAATTTATTGTTTCAACTTTCTTGGTTGTAACGAAGGGAAGAAGAAAGGGAAAAAATGGCTTCTTGAGAATGAAGGAGAAAAAGAGGTGTAACATAATGAACGAAGTGACAAATATATCTGCACTAGATATGGGACCCCGTGCCAATACGGGGCCCAATATATGTTACTGTTTCTGTTTCAATTTATGTGGTACTGGTACATATGAAATTTGAAGTTAATCAATTTTTAGTATGTTTTTATATATTTTAAGTTGCTAATTATTTTTATTTAGAGTATATTTTACGTAAATATATTATAAATCACAATAATTAACAAGTTAATATAAAAAAAAACTTATAAAAAATTCATTGACTTTTGAAATTTCATTTGTATCACATAAATCAGGACAAAGCGAGTAATATATATGAAAATTACATAAAACATACTATAACTCACAATAATTAGCAACTTAAAATATCTATATATCTATATTTCTCCCCATTTATGTGGTATAGATGAAATTTTGAAAGTTAACAAAAACTTTTTATATGTTTTCAAATATTTTAAGCTATTAATTATTATGATTTATAATACTTTTTACATAAAAAAATTTACTTATATAAAGTATTAAAGAAAAAAAAATTAAAAAGGAAACATAAATGTCAGCACGAGTCCAATCTATGTTAATTCCTATGTTTTAATTATTGTAATACAGATTGAATTTGGAGAGCCAACTAAATTTTTTTAAAGGATTTTTTATAAATTTTAAGTTGTTAATTATTATAATTTATAATATTTTTATTTATTTTAAACCAATATATGTTTCTCTCTGTCTCAATTACATGAGACATATGGAATTTGGAGAGTCAACTAAAATTTTAAAATATGTTAAGTTGTTAATTATTATACCTTATAGTACTATTACGTTATTTTCAAATAAAATATGTAATTTTTTTATTTCACTGTATGTGTCATTGATATAATTACATATATTAAGTAATAAAGAATTAATGTGTAAATTATGTGACACCTATGAATTTTGGAGTGTAAATCAAATTAGTTATATGAATTTGTTTTAAAAAGCGGTTAATTATTATAATTTATAATACTTTTTATATATTTTTTAAATGATATATATATATCTTTATGATATTGATATTAGTATTATAATAAATTAAATTTTATTATTTTAAATTTATGATCTCAATTGTCAGCCTATGCCACATTATAAAATGTTCCAAAGTAGATATCCGATTTTAAAAAATGTCGATGCTAGCTAAAGTAATAAAATAACATCTAAGGGCATGAACCTATATATGTATATATAAAGCTGAATATTGACAATTTGATGTGGCATCTCTCTATGACCAGTATTTGTATTCATCTTTTTTTTCCTTTTTTTGACATTTTATCTTTGTTTTGTATTTTTTATTTGTAATTTTTTTAAAAAGTATTTATGTCATACCCGATTAATTATGCCCTTTATAACATCCATTACACTAATATAGATTTAAGTAAATGAAAATGGAAGATGAAAAGATAAAAACTATTCATTTTTTATAACTGTTTATAATTATTTAGCCTATAAAAAAAAATAAAAATAGTTGAACATTTGTAATAAATAAGAACAAATTTCTTCACTTTGGCTCTTCTTCTTCTGACGATAATGATCAATATATGGTATCAACTTTTGTCGTTAATATGTCCATCCAATTTCTAGGTCATGTGACTTTTTTAACAAAAGAGAAAAGAGAGAATATCTCATGATTCTTGTGAAGACATTGATGTAAAAGAAAGTGATCATGTAACAAAAAGTTTCTCTTCAAAATAAAAGACTTTTTGAAAAAATGTTTATTCCTCCTACAAGGAGAGAAAAATTCATTGTGGTTGAGAAATTTATAAGAAGGTTGATTAGTGTTTCAAAGGGTAAGAAAAATTATTTGGAGAAAAAATCATTCTATTTATGGAATTCGTATCAAATGAGGAGGAGAACAAGCAAAATTTTATTTTGTGATTTGAAAAGAGAGAAAATTAGATATTATTTCTTTCAACCTCATTATTCTTCTAATTTCTTTCTTCTTTTATTTTGTCTTGATTTTTTGTATCTTTGATTAAAGTTTTTTTCTTATTTATCTTTAATTAAAGTTTATATATATTTTCTTTAAAAAAAATTTAAAAAGATGATCATATTCAGTTCCTTTCCTCATCAATGCTATTAATCTCATAATTAGTGTTATTTATATTATTTTCTTAATTTACTTTTTTTTCTTTCTTTTAATTATTTATTTGAAGAAATTAGTTATTATAACTTTATAAGAATTACACATGTATTTTTACATAATTGATTTGTTATTTTTAAAATTTTTGGATCATTCTTCATCTTAAAGTTTCTATCTATATGTAATAATAAAGCTAAAATAGAAAATGTGGGGTGACACCTTCTTAGCAATAGATACTTATTTATTTTTATCAATTTTTTCTTGACAATTTTGGTTATATTTTTCTTTAAAATAATTATTGCCTCAATTTTTAATTTTATTTTTAACATTGATTTTTAATTTTCAAAGATTGGAAATTTTATGTTAAAAATTTAAATAATAGAAAAAATGATTTATTTAACTTTTATCATCATCAATACTACTAATTTTTTTTGACGTTTTTTCTTAATCTTCATCTCATCATTAATGTTATTTATATAATTTTGTTTAATCACTTATTTTTTCTTTTTTAACTCTTTTATATATATAAAGTTGGATATGTAAATGATGATGTGACATTTCTTAGAAGCTAAGATTACTATTTATCTAATTTCTCCAATTTTTGAGTTCTTTTGTCATACTAAATACAATATGTTTTATTATAATTACATTCAATATAGTAAACAACATGTTCTAGGAATTAAAACAAAATTATCATTTCAGAAAAATAAATGTTAAATTATAATTTTATTATGATTAAGGAAAGATAAAGATATTATTTGAATATCCCATAACCACATTCAATACATTAGAAATTAATTGGATATAATTGTAAATGGAAAATGAATCACGATTTAAGGAAAATAAATGTTTGCAATACCATAATAATTAAGGAGAGAGTAAGATATTATTTTAATATCCTAATTCGGAACTTTTAATCTACTACTCAATTAAAAAGAAAATGCATTTAATAACATTAAAAAGTTATTAGTTTATATTTTTTTTCTCATTGTACTAATTCAATTCAAAACTTAATTTTAAAGATAAAATAACAGCTTCATTTTAATTGTTGTCAATATATTTCAAAAAATTATCGTGAAAAGGCTTTTCTTGCACCTTATTTTAATTTTTATATAGTATTATTATTTTTTCAGTCATTTTTCAATGATTTTTTATTTCGATTTAAAATTTAATGTTTATTCTTAAAACTCTGATGGTACAATTAAGGTGGAGTAGAATATAATAAATGATGATTCTTCTACTAAATAAGAAGATATAACGAAATTGAAAGGGTGAAGTTTTTTTTTTTAAAGGGATAGGAAATTCTATTAAGGTATCATTACGTCATTATTCCATATATTTTTAATATAAATTTCATTTAATGATGCATTTGTTTAGTACTCCCTTTGTCCCTAATTACTTGTTCACTTTTCCTTTTATAGTTGTCTCTAATTACTTGTCCATTTTGACAAATCAAGAAAGTAACATTTTTTTTACCTATTATACTCTCAATTAAATGACTAATTACTTTGAAAATTGCAGAACTTTTCATCTACTTCATAATTAATAGGGGTAAAATGATAAACTCACTATGTCATTAATTGATTTCTTAATAGATGTGTCAATTTAAAAGTGGACAAGTAATTAGGGATAGAGGGAGTATTACAGTGTTATTTCACATTACGAGATATTTCTTAGACATTTAAGGAGAATGGTACACCGGAATATATATTATATATTAAAGGATCAACTTCATGCAATGGAAGAATTTGTTATTATCAAACACATTTTAACTTATTTGATAAAAAATATATTCTTCCTCATTTAATAGATGTAAAATTTGTGAAGCTTTATTTTTTTCACAATCTTCATATTATTAAAACATATAATAATATTACGATTAAACAACATAGTAAATATGAAATTAATCAAAAATATTTAATTTTAATGATCGCGCGAAGTGCGGCCAAGTTCTCTAAATTTAAAACAAAAAAGTAAAATTTAAATGGGTCTACAATAGAACTCCTAGAAATCCAACTTGAAAAATTATATTAAAAATGGAAAATAAAAAGTGAAATAAATTTAATTGAGAGTTATCCTTCGTCTGTCCCATTTTATGTGACACTTTTTATTTCTCGAGAATCAAATAGTTTAAGTTTGACCATAAATTTGCGTATGATATCTTCAATTTTTTTAAAATGAAATTTATATATTTGTAAACTACATAAAACTCAAAATATTATAATTCATAATAATTAATAATTCAAAATATTTTAAAGATCTATGAAAAATTTAAGATCAAAGATAAACTAAAGAGAGTAAAAGGGGAGAATGGAAAGTAGAAAAAAAGAAAAAAAAGCGAATATATAGAGAGAGAAACTGAGGAAAAAAAGTTGAGAAAAGTAATTATTCATGTGGGTTATTGTATATGTAGAAAGACACGTGTACAATTAATGAGCCACAATTAATTTTATAGTACAATTTGAAATGCTTTGTGTACAACTTGGTAGTGCCGTGTTCGTCCTCTAAAGTCTCACTTCTAATAAGGAGTAACATAAATCACAATAATTAACAATTCAAAATCTTTAAATTGAGACAGTTAAAGTAATTTATATTTGGAGCTATTGTGTCTGGTAACTGTATATATGTATGAGTAATAAAAGGTAGTACACATGTCTTCAATATAGTGAATCATCAGACAGCTGGCAACATATAATACTCCTATTTATTCAAAAATTAATGTACAATTCTTTTTGCACGTTGTACAACTAATTTAATAAAGTCAAAAGTTAATGTACAAAATTCTTTGCACGTTGTACAACTAATTTAATGCAGTGTTAGTCCTTCTAACTGTCATTTCTAAATAAGAGTAATGTAATCCAATGTA